TTTTTTTTTTTTTGTGCTCAAGCCCCATGTCAATAATACCGTTTCGTGTCCACGATCTAATGATCCGAACACAGCATCTGCTTTTATTTCTATCGTCTGGACACGCATCGAATGAAATTGGACTATTATACAAATTTCGATCGCGCGGTAATATTATTAAATACCAGTGTTCACTCTAGTGAGTAGTTCCATCGATTATTGTGCCTGCAGTCTCGTATAATATTATGGTACTCGTTTATAATAAGGCACCATGTGTGATTATTGAAACATAACGAAATTTCATGTATGAGCGAACTCGTGGTTAAAGCAAAGCAAATTAATATTATACTGACTCATGGAAGCACGATCGTACGTGTGTATGATGTTTTATCAAATCCAATCGTTTTATCATAATATATATACTCGAGATTAATATATAATTATTAAACACCTAACAATAATATTTACAGTTTACTTTATAGTTCCCATTAATGTTATATACGGTGTAATAAATTGCTTTTTAAAATAATAATTACACTCGTGACACGTGCATACAATTAAATATATAATATAATGTATAATATATTGTACTTTCAACTATAATATGTATAACATATTAATCAGTACAACAGAAAAAATTAATATTTATTATGACTTTTCGTATTCCATAACATTATTCTAGAACACATTCTGTTGAAACTATAACGAACCTAGGTATACATTTAAATAGAGAAAAACAATCCGTGCAACGACATTAATAACACGATCGAAACAACTATATAGTGTAGACAGATAAGACAATTATATTACGTATATGTGGTTAAACGAAATTGATGAATTTTTCGTTTTAAAAATTTCACCATCGCGCTAACAATTATAATTGCTAAATAACATATATAAATCTGAAATTATTGGGTGTCACATTTGGTGTCAACGAGGTGTATATACAACGTCATCAAATAGCAAAACATGTATAATATATACGATCATCTAGTGTATGAGTAACACTGCAGTACAATGATTGCAATGACAAATATAATATATATACATACGTACAAGTATGGCAATTAATAACTGTATAAATGTAATTTATTTTTACGAGCTCCCACGTTAACAGCGCATAGAATCCACGTGTCTGAATTGCGACAYTCATAATAATAATATACTATTGTGTCATATAGACWTTGTTAAATTGATAATTTCCGGAGAGAGGAAGAAGTTTATGCGCCACTTGTGTAGGTCTCAGAGCGACTTTATCGAGTACTCGATAAGCATTGGTTATTGAATAAGTATAGATGTCAACAACGTTAATACTATATAGTGATATATCAATGATTTAATTCAACTAAAGCTGACAAGTCGGCGGTGCACTATACATATAGAACATAATATATTATTATTATATATATTTAAACAAGATTATAGGCGGCGTTATATGGAGGTTCAATCATTACCTTTAATATGTCGGCTCGATATAATATATTATGTGTATAGAGCTGAATGGCCTGTGGTGGCTCATCTATACACAAACGGCGACCGTTTTACCATTATTATTTGCTATGGCTGCTTTCGATTAAAGCGCCTGCAGAAGGTATAATATAAGTCACGTAAAAAGGGTCGATTCCGTCGTGTAAGTGTACAGAGTACACGCACAATAATGCGCGATCGAAACATTCGATTCGGTCGCACATTTTAATACGCATAGTTCATAAACTAATAAGCGTGCGTAAGAATGAAACAATAATTTCGATCTATATTATCAATTATATGCATGAGATTATTTTAAAACGTATTATAATAGGTTAGATATGTACGAAAAGGTCCTCAATGTGTACACACACACACACACACACACATATTATACATATAGGTACATTTTATATAAATACTCGTCGCCACAATTTTTAGACATTTTATTCGTGTGCCCGTCTAGACTCGGCGCGCGCGTCGCTATATTATTGATACCGTTCCAAATTCGTCTGCGATACGAAACTCTGAATTGTTTATGGGCTGTGTTATGCGATATTTTATGAGAACTCGCCTACAGGACTAACCTTACCCAACGGAAAACGGCTCACGATTCGGGAGACATTGGCGCCATCCGAACGACTGTAGACTTGCATTTATGTATAATACGGGGAAAACTTTAGCG